CTCGAGGATGCGAGAAAGAGTTTTGCAAAGTCCAAACTCAAATTCGAGGATGCAATAAAAGAGTTCTGCAAAGTTCTGCAAATTACCATCTCAAAAGGCGAATACCATAAAGTGTTTGGCTGTATTGCAAAATATAGGTTACCCTTTCTTCCGATTTGCAATATAAACACCATGATTGTTTGTCCTCTTATGAAAATTTGATATCAAAGCCGTCTTTACAGTCAGTGAAAAGATACGAAACGAAATATACAACAAAAACTATAATATAAATCACAACAGAAAAAAAAAAAAAAAAACAACATATATATACCTTCCCCAGAACCCTGAAACCGGGAACCCATATATACATATATTACACAACACACTTCCCGGAACGCTGTAATTTAACAAGGAAACTTTAGAACCCTTGGCTATATCCGATGGCAAATTCCCAAGCCAAGTTCTCTCGACTATTAAGAGCCAAGGTTTTCCAAAAGAGCCAATTAAATTTTATGAGGGGAACCCCGCTGATTTCTGAGCTTTTCATGTTTTCATCACTTTTATTTGTTAAGGTCTTTGCTTTTGTTGTCTCTTCTGGTGCATTTGTATTGCTATTAGTAACAGTAGTATCATTAACATTGCTGGTAGTATCATTAACATTGCTAGTAGTATCATGAACATTGCTAGTAGTATCACTGACATTGTTGTTATGTTGATGTGTCTCTCCTTTTGCCATTTTCATTTTTCTTGTGGTAGCAGTAGTGAAAATAGTAGTTATGGTGGTAGTAATAGTAGCGGTAGCATAGTAGTGGAAATAGTAGTCGTAGTAGTGGTAGCATGGTAGTGGTAATAATAGTAGTTGTAGTGGTAGTAGTAATGTAAGTACTAATAGTAATGTTAGGTTTAGTAATAGTATTAACCTTGTCATTATCATAACTTTTCTGATTGCTTATATTACATATGTTTATTTCTTGTTATTTACTTACTATTAGTAGTAATACTTGATCAGCTATGCTAACAGCAGCACCATTATCAATGCAATCATTCTCATCATAGTTAACAACGCCAGTATTGATGTATAAAATACTTTTCTGCAACCCAGATTTGCAGTATTTTGTGCAATGGCTGAACCTTAATCTAACGTTGAGTTGAACTGGGTTAGTCATTACTTTTTTTAATTTCATGCTACACGTCCTGCCATACATACACGCGCGCTTTTAAAATCACACTAAAATTGGCTAGTTGAAACGATCTTTGAATCTGTTTCGGTATGGAATTATTCCCATATATGCATATATCCCTGAGGGTCGGGACCTCCCATGGTTCCCCTGTACACAATTTCCACAATTTCCGAGTTCTCCCGTTGTTAATGGGTTAACACGAGATTCATTTCGGATCACGCATTCAAATGAGGACCCTTCCTTGAATTAATCACAGCACACCACTTCTGTTGAATTGCTTCTCGATTCATTTTCTCTCTCTCTCTCTCTCTCTCTCTCTCTCCTTTCTCTCTCTCTTTCCTCTCCTTCCCTTTCTTTTTTTTTTTTTTTTTTTTTTTAGATTTTTTTTTTCTTTTTTCCTGGTCCGTTCGCATCCCGTTTCTCTCTTGATGCTTAACTCTTCACCCTTCCCTGCTCTCCCCTCTTTCGTTGAGGTTTCTCTTTCGTCTCTGGTTTTGTATGATATTCATTTTTCCTCTCTCTTGTCTCCTCCCTCTCTCTCTTCTCCCTCCCTCTCTCTCTCTCTCTCTCTCTCTCTCTCTCTCTTCTCTCTCTCTCTCTCTCTCTCTCTCTCTCTCTCTCTCTCTCTCTCTCTCTCTTCTCCTTCTCTCTGCAGTGTGATGTGTGTGTGTGTGTGTGTCGTGTCTCTCATGTCTGTCTCCCCCTTCCCTCCCTCCCTCTCTTCTCTCTCCTCCCTCTCTCTCAGCTCCTCTCTCTCTCTCTCTCTCTCTCTCTCTATCTCTCTCTCTCTCTCTCTCTCTCTCTCTCTCTCTCTCCCTCTCTCTCTCTCTCTCTCTCTCTCCCCGTCCTCCACCCTTATCCTGCGAACTTCGCCCCTTTCTCTCCTCTTCCTCCTGCATTCTTTCTTTGTTTCACTTGTTCTTGTCCCCCTTCGCCTCTTTACCTTTCATCACTCGCCCTCCGACCTACTCCTTCAACCGTTGTCCTTCACTCATTAATCTTCATCGCGCTGGTTTCGCTTCAGTAATTCCTCTGACCAGCTTCGCACGGGCAAGCAAGCACCCTCATGTAGCTGCGGCAGAAGTACATGTAGGCAGACGCACGCGCATGTTAGTCACGCCCGCACGCACGCACGCGTACGCAAATGGGCGCACGCATCTAGCACGTAAGTACGCACACGCACATACACACACACACACACATACACACAATAATAGCACATAACACACAACACACACGAATACGTACTAATACAACACACACACACAATACACGAACACATACACACATACATACACACCACACACACACACCACCACACACTACGACGTACACACAACACACACGAACAATACATACACACACGCACACGCACCACACACACACACATTACACACACGAACACCACACACACACCACAGAAGTTAATCATTCTGCGTTTTATTACTAATCAAAGCTCCTTGTTTCCTACTAATTGCCTCTCTATAATTTATATCTTACTTACCCTATGACAATAGCTGATTTCCCCTCCCCTACTGATATCAATCATATGACCAGTGTATATTGTATTATCTGTACTGTCAATTCTCAAGAGCTTGATCCACGTTCCTTTCTGGCCTTTTCTTTACCCCAACACTCATTTCTTGGGCTTCCCTTTCTTTCTCCCCCATTATCATTCCCTTTCCCCACATTTTTTCTTTTCTTTCCTCTTCCCTCTCCCTCCATCTCATCCATTCTTTTTCGCTCTCCCTTTCTCCCCAATTCTCTCGCCCGACTACCCTCCCTCTGTCATCTTCTTCAATGTCTTGTGTCCTCCCTTTTCCCTACTTCTCCCCTCATTCTTCCTTTCTCCTCGACCCTCTCTCTTCGCCTCTTATTCCCTTCTCCCCCTCCCCCCACTCCTTACATTCCCTTCCTCCCTCCTCACATCCCCTTCCTCTCGACCCTCCCTCCCTCTCTCATTCCGCTTCCCCATTCCCCGCCTTTCTCTCATATTCTTTCCTCCCCCCTCTCATTCCTTTTCCCCCTCCCCCTTGATCTCACCTCATCACCGTCCTCCTCTTATTCCGCTCCCCCTACCCGTATCTCCACATTCGCTTCCCCCTCCGTACATTCCCTTCCTCTCCCCTCCCTCCTCTCTCATTCCCTTCCTTCCCCCCTTTCTCCCATTTCCGTCCTCCTCCTCTCTCATCCTTTTCCCCCTCCCTTCTCTCACCTCATCGCCCCTACCCCTGCTCTCATTCCCTCGCCCTTTCCCCCACTCTTCAGATCCTTCCCTCTTCCCTCCTGCTCATTCCCTCCTTCTCGCCCTCGCCCATCTTTCCATTCCCCCTTCCCAACTCGCGCCTCATGCCCTCGGAGCGCCTGCTCCCCGTTCCCATTCCTGTGCCCCATTCTGCCTTCCTCTCCCTTCCCCCCCCTCTCATTCCTTGCCTCTCCTTCCCCGCCCCCCCTGCTCATTCCCTTCCCTTCCTCCCCCACTCATTCCCTCCTTCCTCCCGACCTCCCATTCCCTTCCAGTTCTCCCCTCCCCCCTCCCAATTCCTCCCTCCCTCTCCCTTCTCCCCTCCCCGCCGCTCTCATCCCACCCCGCCCCCCTTACGCCGCCATTTCTCCTTGCCCCCGCCCTTAAGGCTCTTCCCCGTCCCTCCTTCTGCCCCATAAGTCGCCTCCTTCCACCGTAAAGCTGTATAAACATCTCCAGGCTTTCGTTGTCGACCGTAATCAAAACACTTTTATCGGCCGTATGGTGCGCTTTGTGGCCGAGACACCTGCTCGCCTTCGCGCCCTCTCGCGCACGCGCACGGTGCCACGCGGCAGGGAATACGGAGCAATAAGGTGCCACGCGGCAGGGAATACGGAGCAATGAGGTGCCAACGCGGCGGGGGATACGGACAAGTAAGGTGCCACGCCGCGGGGGATACGGAGCAATGAGGTGCCACGCGGCAGGGGATACGGAGCAAATAAGGTGCCACGCGGCGGGGGATACGGAGCAATAAGGTGCCACGCGACATGGAGTATGCTACAAGGAGGACGGTGTCACGCAACACAGAGCACGGTGCCAAGCGACGTGGAAATACGGAGTACGGGTGCATGGTACCGCACGGAACACGAGGCACGCGACACGGAATACGGTACCAAGGCAACATGGAATACGGGAGCAAAGCAACGGAGTAGAGTACCACAGCAACACGGAATACAGTAACCAGCACAACAGGGAGCACAGTACCCACGCAGCACGGAATACGGTACCAAGCAACAATGGAATACGGTACCACACAACACGGAGCACAGTACCACACAACACGGAATACGGTACACGCAACAGAGAGCCAGTAACCACACAACACGGAATACGGTACCACACAACAGAGAGCACAGTACCACACAACAGAGAAAACATCACACAACGAAACAAATCAACGAAGCACAGTCCCCGACACAACAGAGAGCACAGTACACACAACACGGAATACGGTACCACCAAACAGAGAGCACAGTACCACACAACACGGAATACGGTACCACAGCAACAGAGAGCACAGTACCAACAACAGAGAGCACAGTACGACAACAGAGAGCACATACCACACAGACACGGAATACGGTACCACACAACAGAGAGCACAGACCACACACGGTACCACACAACAGAGAGCACAGTACCACACAACAGAGAGCACAGTACCACACAACAGAGCACAGCACAGTACCAACAAACAGAGCACAGCAACACGGAATACGGGTAGCAGAGAGCAGCAGTACGCACACAACAGAGAAGCACAGTACCACACAACACGGAATACGGCACACAACAGAGAGCACAGTACCAACACAGCACGGATACGGTACCACACAACAGAGAGCACAGTACCCACACAACACGGAATACGGGTCGGTACCCACACAACAGAGGAAGCAACAGTACCACACACCACCACAACAACAGAGAGCACAGTACCACACAACACGGAATACGGTACCACACACAACAGAGAGAAGCACAGTACCACCAACCGAATACGGTCCACGCAACAGAGAGCACAGTAACACAAGCAACAGAGAGCACAGTACCACACAACACGGAATAGCGTACCACAAACAGAGAGCAAACAGTACCACACAACACGGAACAGTAACAGAGTACACAGCAACAGAGAGCACAGTACCACACAACAGAGAGCAAAGTACCACACACAGAGAGCACAGTACCACACAACACGGAATACGGTACCACACAACAGAGAGAGCACAGTACACACAACAGAGAGCACAGAGACACAGCCACACACACACACGCACAGAGGACAGTACGGTACCTACAGTACCACAACAGAGAGAGCACGGAATACGGTACCACCAACAGCACAAGCAACAGAAGAGCACAGTACACACAACAGAGAGCCAGTACCGACACAACAGAGAGCACAGTACCACACAACACGGAATAGAGAGCACAGTACACACTACCAACAACAGAGAGCACAGTACCACACAACACGGAATACGGTACCCACGCAACAGAGAGCACAGTACCACACAACAGAGAGCACAGTAACCAACAACACGGAATACGGTACCCCACACCAACAGACACAGTACAGTACCACACAACAGAGAGCACAGTACCACACAACAGAGAGCACAGTACCCACACAACAGAGAGCAACAGTAACCACACAACACGGAATACGGTACCAACACAAAAGAGAGCACAGTACCACACACAACAGAGAGCCACAGTACCACACAACCAAGAGCACAGTACCACAGCAACAGAGAAGCACATTACCACACAACACGGAATACCGGTACACACACAACAAGAGAGCACAGTACACACAACACGAAATACACCACACAACAGAGAGCAGCAGTACCACACAACGGAATACGCGGTACAAACAGCAACAGAGAGCACAGTACCACACAACAGAGAAGCCACGATACGTACACACCACAGCAACAGAGAGCACAGTACCACACAACAGAGAGCACAAGTACCACACAACAGAGAGCACAGTACCACACAACAGAGAAGCACAGTAA